AAAAACAAAACCCTATGGAGATCAAGGCAAATGTATAATTAGAGATTTTGTTCTAGTGATCAAGACACTATAGAGAGTGTGATCACATTTAGGATAGATAGCCGTACTATTAAGAGGGGTTCTTAACTAGTCAATTCAGTCATCTAGTGCCACTAGGTGTTGGACTTCATGCATTGCATTTAGGCCTAGTGCACATCGGAGAGCAAGCGAAAATATTTATCGAAAATGTTTTGAGAAATGCTAACTTGGCTCTAATATGTTTTGAGAAAACACTTTGAGAGTTAGCATCGCTTGCGGGGAGAAGCTCGAGTTGATGTGGATCTAAACGCGACAAAGTTTGTAAGTCGGAGAGCTAGTGGTGGTGTCTGGGTGGCATCGCCATCCCTTGTCCGGTGCACCGTCACCCCTGTGGCGGTGCCCACCAGGACCTGACAGAGAAGGGCCGCTGTGGGGTGTTACCGGACACGATGGTGTTCACCGCCATGGGCACGGCGGTGCGCCGTCACTGCCTGTTCGGTGCCACCGCCATGCTTTTCCCAAGAGCAGGAGAAGGTAAGGGGCACCGCCATGGGCACCATCGTGTCATGTCCGGTGCACCGCCCCTTTTATCTAGAGAGGGGTGATTTCGGGGTGTTGGCCAGGGCGGCACCGCCACCCCCTGTCCGGTGCCCCAATGGCCGTTGGAGGGGCACCGCCACCCCATGTCCGATGCCACACCGACATGTCCGGTGACCCCGTAGAAGCTAACTCAAAGGGGTAACGGCTCTATTTGCTTGTGTGGCTATACATAGAGGGTGTTGCCGGCCTTGGCCACTCTCTTGGTACCTCATACACTTGTGCACACCCTTTGGAAGTTGAGCAACACACTCCACTCACTTGTTCACTTGATTTCATCATCTTGAGTGAGATTGGAGAACCTCTAGTGCACTACATTGAGTTGCATCATCTTGTAGCACTAGTTGGGTGATTTGGGCTGATTGTGAGCTGGTTATTCTTGGTGTTTGCCGACACCTAGACGGCCCGGTGTTGGAGGATCGTTGAGCGGAGTTGGTGATTGTCTCCGGTCTCGATTCATTGCTTGTGAGGGGTCTTGTGCCTTCCCCGGTGGAGCGCCAAAGGCAACTCTAGTAAATTGCTCGTGTCATTGAGCTACCTCACTTGTGGGTAGGTTCTTACGGTGCCTCTTGTGGTGGGCTACGTGTGTGATACCTATTAGCCACCGAACCACCAAGTGTTGGTCGACACAATGGGGACTAACGTGCCGGCAAGCACGTGAATCTCGGGAGAAAAATTGATTGTCTGTTGCCATTGGATTTCTCTCGGTATTCATATTGTGTTGATTGGTTGATTGATTCATCACCTCTACATGACGGTATAAACTTCTCCATCCTCTCTTTACTTCATGCAAACTAGTTGTAACAAGCTCTTTAGTGTAATTAGTTTTGAGAGCTTGTATTACCTTTGCTAGTTTAGCTTCTCACCTAGTTGAGCTTTTTAGTGTAGCTAGCTTTTGAGAGGTCTTAGTGACTTAGCCATTGATTGTCTTAGAGATTATAGCAACTAGAATTGTTAGGATAGGAGGCTTGCAACACTTGTTAGAGCTAGTGCAAAAAGCTTTATAGCCTTTTAGTTGTCTAACAAGTTTGTCTAGTGATTTGTAGTCTTTAAATTAGGCTATTCAACCCCCCTCTAGCCAATTAGGACCTTTCAAAGAGGCACTTTACACGTCATGCTGACCTATAGCTCAATGTTTAAGATCTATCCGAGGTGAAGAAGATTGATGTAAGGAAATTTCATGATGTCCTCACTAATTATAAAGAGATTGTCAAATGCATGAGAGGGAACCATAAGTCAATCATCCTATGTATTTCCATATGTATTTTCTAATTTTAGTGGTGTTAAAAGCGTTTTTCTTGTGTCTTGTGTAATGTAGGCAACTGGTACATTGGAAGCCATATCCTGATGCACGGCTTGAGACGGATGGCCATTAAGATCGGGATCGATTAATTGGGGTGTACCTAGCATTCTGGTGAGGGGACCAATGTCTAGACTAAAAACAGATGAAAACAGGTGTATGGGGACAAGGTGACAAGTTGTATGCACCATTCCCCCAAATCCCGACAGTTCCAAGTTATGAGCCTCATTTTAGCAGTCCACCTAATCTGCGATTTCTGTCAATGGCTCACCTTTTGCTCCATCTCTGTCTTCCAACTCCTACATTCTCTAGCTACCTTTTCTTCTCCTCCTTACCCCCACATCACCTGCATTCTTGTGTTAGTTAGTGTTCCTCAGTTTGTAAGGTGCAGAGCTTAGCCTAGAACTAGAAGGATGGACATGTCTCTTGATGCGTATGCACCAAGTGTACTTGTACTTAGATTTGTACTTTGCTGCTTTTGTTCTATTATACTGAGTGAATTATACTACCTTTGAATTACTAAGGATATTTGATGTTCCGTGTTTTGTTCTATTTGATCTTTTCATGCCACCATGATTTTTTGCACAAGTAGCACAAATTACTCTAGTTAACAAGAGTTTACATAGAAACTTATGATCCCTTTCATGTTTACAGATCCAACAATACAAAGTGCAGAGTGTGCCTGACTTGATAAACCATGATTCTTCTATTGCAAATAAACTATATTTTTCACACCTGTGTAAATGGACCACCCATGGTGACTACTCGTATGGTTTCGTCATCACAAACAAGGATTCGATCTGTTACATTCCATGATTCTTTTATATGTGTATAATAGTATGATTTTGCACAGAACTGGAAGCAACAAAACTCCAATCATTTGCCTACAGTACTCCCCCTATGTTCAGCTGCAACAAAATCTACATGAAAATACATTATCTCTTTTGATTAAGCAAAAAAAAAATCAGTGTTATACTTTGCTCAACCACGAGAGACTCCAAGACCACAAAATTTTCCAGCCTAGTCAGCCAGTGAAGTTCTTTTTACAGCAAGGAGTTACTTCTGCAGAGCTGAGGTCTACAGGATATGGAGTCTACAACCCTAATCCTCTTCTACTGTCCTTCGATCCCTTCTTCACTATCTCATCGATTGTTTTGGCCCATTTGACTTTAGATGAGTGTTCTCTTGTGTAAGTGCAAGATGAACAACGGATTGTATTCAAAGTTGGGTAACATGAAGAACTTAAGAGCGTCGCTGATCCTATGTACCACGTAGCCAAAACTGATCTAATCACATGGTGTGAAAAGATTGACCTCGTTGAACCAGAGGCAGCTGAACAGACCAGTCATTGTTGTGTGTTCCTGGCAACATGGAAATATTGTATTTCGAACCTTCTCACCCTAATTTCCATTTGTTATGCATGAGAATATTGGAGAAACAGAGTTATACATACACAAGTCACATATGGTTTCATCACTTCAAAATGCATGAATCCGATGTGTTAGGTTCCTCGGTTCTTTTACATGTGTAATTGTGAAGTCTCCAAGCATTAGCCTACAGTACTCCCTATTTTCAGTTGTGACAGAATCTACAGGAATTACAAGATCTGGTCAATTTTTTTTTGAAAAATAAATGTTCTACTTTGTACAACCATGAAAGAATCAAAGACCACAATCCTAGCCTAGCCTGCTGGTGAAGTTCTTTTTACAGCAGGGAGTTCCATAGAGCTGAGATATGTAGGATACAAAGTCCAAAGCCCTAATCTTCCTCTACTCTCCTTCAGTCCCCTCTTCATAATCTCATCGATTGTTTTGATCCATTGGACTTTTGATGAGTGTTCTCTTGTGTGTCTGTGCAAGATGAACAGTGAATGTATTCACAGTTGGAGAACATGAAGAACTTAAGAGCATCTCTGAGCCTACGCACCACGTATCCAAAACTGATCTGATCACGTGGTGTGAAAACATTAACCTCATTGAGCCAGAGGCAACTCAGGCCCCGTTCGCTTCGCTGAAAAAACAAGCCGAAACACTGTTCCGGCTGATTTGTTGTGAGAGAAAAACATTGTTTCAGCTGAAAAAACAAGCTGAAAAAAAACGGATTATAAGAGAAGCGAACAGGGCCTCAATAGATCAGTCATCGTTGTGTGCTCCCAGATCAGCACTGCTCCCTCCAGCACATCTGCAAGTTATAATTGGATTATTAAGAACTATGAGTTGGGGGAACAAGGAACCAGTATTTCAGGAAGTACTCATATTAAGCAACGAACTACAGTTGTGTAGAATGTTGTGGCAACTTGAAGAAGAGAGATAAGCACAAGCGATTTTTTTCTAAGAGGTTGGGCCCCCCATGTTATAATTCCTATAAAACAACTTATTCTTTAGGAACTTCATATGAATTGTAGTGGTCCAATCCCTTGTTCTAAAAGGCTCTCATGGAAAAAATTTTCTTATAGGAAATATAAATCCTATGAAATACCTCCATTTTTTATTTGTTTCAAAATGAGACCTCAACATGCAAAACTCCAACTTGAAACTCACTCATACGTTCCAACTGAAAATATGTGGTGCATTTACCAGAAAGAGGGGCATTGTTGGATATGTTGCTTAACAACGTCGTGCATTCTTTTCGTGGGCACCAGACAGTCTTCCTTTAATTTGATTGTGAGCAATAGTTTTTTTATGGGTCAATTTCAGTTGAGTTTGAACCACAACCACCGCCCCAACACAAGAATTTACCGTTCTGCACACACGACTGCTAGATTGCTATTCCAATTCAACACAAACAATAGAAAGGCCCCACTCAGTCCCTAGGATCACAAATCTACTCCAGAAAGGCAGAAACCACTTGAGATATATTCATATATATCATGTTCACAGACTATAGACTCCTAGAGCACAAGGCCGAATGCATAAACTTCCTCGTCTATCCATTATTATCCACTACCTGTGTGCACTAAGTATAATTATATACATCTGAATAGTCTTACGAGTCCATGAAGGTACATCTGCTTATTAAGTACAGCTATACGAGCAAATTAGAACATCGACCATTTTGTACTGGAACATAAGGGAGGCTTTAGACTTTAAAGGGGGAAGATAGTGTCGCCATCCTCGTTTCTGTCAAGGTAGTTGAATGGAGCGTCTCCTTCGTAGCGGAAGTCTGGACCAACGTAGCACTTCATCTCATGAAACAGGTTCAGGTTGTCAACCAGCTTATGGAACACATTGCAACCACAGCACTGAAACAATAGACCAAAATTCAGCAAATGTGGATACATATGAAAGCAAACAGCTAGACAGAAAATGCAGCACCAGGGAAGGAAAACGAGAACATCCGAATGCGGAAAAGAACAACTTGTAGGTGTCACACATTGTTTAAAACTCAAGGCCAGAGCTGACCACAAACCTAATAGAGAGCTATGATAATTCACAGTCCGGGAAAGTTTGAGCTTTACATCAAAAGAAGCAACATAGTAGTACAGAGACTGCATAGCTAATAGTCATCTTGGTTTCATATTGAATGGACTAAAATTATTTAAGCAATTGACATGTCTGAAACTAAAAAAAAGAACGCTACGTATCTCGTCCAATATCTATATCTATATAACAGTATAACACACATACAAAATGAAGTGATTCATATCTCTAGGATAACCAAGTTCTTCAAATTTAAATGGTACAGGTACCAATTTTGTGGAAGAACATATAACCCATGGTAAAAACTGTACTAGTTAGTAGCTATTGACGGTGTTAATCATTTCTTTCAATATTCAGAAGAATTGCATCAGATTATTGCAACATGATGTCTCTTTTCTCACGATATCAAGGATGAACTATCAAGAGATTCTCATCTCTAGGATAACCAAGTTCTTAAAATTTGAAGTATACAGATGTTCAATTTTGTGGAAGAACATATAACCAATGCTAAAACAGTATTAGTTATTGTCGGTGTAGTCATTTCTTTCAATATTCAGAAGAACTGCATCAGATTATAGCAACATGACTCATGACGTCTCTTTTCTCATGATATTAAGCACCAACTGTCAAGTGATTCTCATCTCTAAGATAACCAAGCTCTTCATATTTGAACTGTACTGCTGGCCGATTTTGAGGGAGAAATATTACCCATGGAAATACAGTACTAATAATTCACTGAATCGGTCATTTCTTTCCAACATTCAGAAACCTACCTAAACCGTATGCTATAAACTAATAACAAATTAACGATGCTGCAACTTAAAAAAAATAAACACGGAAGCAGCAAGTGGCACCTCATCAATATACACTAAACTAAGGTAGGACAAGGATCAGCTTCATTGGACTTCTATTAACACATTGGTTACACTAATCACATACTCCTAGTTCATACCTGAACAAACACAGTTCCATCGGTGTAGGCATGAGGATTGATGGCCCTGGTCGTGCGCTGCCCGCACACGTTGCAGGTGAAGGCCACCCGCATACGCCGCCGCGGTGATTTGGTGAAGAGGGACCAAGGCAGCGTTGACACCTCCGGCCTGCCCGCCGCACCGGCCTTGCTCGCCGTCGGGGGGCCCTCCATCCCCGATCCCGTCGTCCAGCCGCTCCCCGTGGCAGCACTCACCACCAGTCCCATGGCTGCGTCCTGCCGATGATGCGACACAGGAGCCAGGTCAGCCGACATCACAGCATCAATCAACCAATCAGCTCGATCAGACCATTTGCGAGCGGTATGGGAGCGAATCGAAGCAAGAAATTGCACGAGATGGCGCGAAATCTGCAAGCGAAAAGCAGGCCAAAACGCGTCCAATTCGATCCGAGTGCTACAAAGAGACCCCCAATAGAAATGCAGGACGAGACGGCACGAAACCGAGCGAATCAGGACGGGGTGCTGTCGGATTGCACCAAGGGTGGTTACGGCGGGTTAACCGCCGCCGCGTCCGTACCTTGGAGAGCGGCGAGATGGAGAGCCCGCCGTACGGCGCCAGGCTGGTGGGCTCGCGCCCCGGCCCCGAGCCGGACCCTTTGCCTTTGGCGGCCTCCTCATCGTCGTCGTGACCTGCAGATGATTCGTGATGTGTGAGGATTACGCCACCAGAGAGGTCGAAACGAGACGCGCACGCGGGGAGGGGAGGGATGGACACGTACGCTTGGAGGCGGCGACGGGGAGGAAGGCGGCACGGCGCCGGCGGTGGAGCGGGGTAGAGGAGAAGGGGAGCGGGAGAGAGCGGGAGGTGGTGGCGATCGCGGCGGCCGCGACGAAGTCCATGGGCGGCGACGGCGAGAGGGCAACGGCGAGGAGGGAGGTGCAGCTGTGGCGTGAGATTTTTTTCCTCTTGGGCTGGAAGGGGAAGGCAGACAAATGAAATCGTTTTTTTCTTGAAGGAGCGGGTGACGATTAACGGAGGTTGTTGGCCCCACATACACACCTGCTCAGTTGGTCGGTTTCACAAAAATTTTTTGGTCCGTTTTAGAAACTTTGTTTTGTGGGAATTTTGTTATTTGGATTATACTAGGTAGCGTGCTCGTGCGTTGTTACGAGATATCTAATATTTTATACTTAAAACATATGGATCGCAGGATAAGATAACAATACTATAAAAATTAAATATCAATGTTAAATTGATATTTAATCTAAAAAATAAAGTTTGTGAAATTAACAGTCACGAAGAGCGCGGCGTCGCAGGCTCATAAACTCTGCTTTATAGACATTTCCGTGATGCGACTAAGATAATGTTTTATATCGGCAGGAAGAAATCTCCGATAACCATTTCTTTCGTGCGCTAATAAATCCACGAATAAGTTTCGTCCATCTCCGTACCATCTTGTACACAGGTTTGAGTATATATGTAAATATTAGTGCCTGTCATATAAGTAATACTTTATTTTGAAAAATCTCCCACAAAACTCGGTCATCTCTTCCTTATTCACTAGCACGCCTTTCATGACCTCAAATGCCCAAAACTCATCAGAGTCTTGGTTGGCATTATTTTCATCGCTATCAAGACGTGGAGAACCCTTTCTTTTATTTAACTCTGAAGATAGCAAGATCGTTGCAAGCTTCAGTTTAAATCCTTTCATATCATCCTACACGATATTATGAACCTAGTTAATATCATCCTGCACGATAGTATGGAACTAGGTACATGCTCGTGCGTGCAACGGAAAAAATAGCACCCTAATAATTTGAGAATGAATGTGTTATATTGTCACAAAAAAAACGATACTGCAAGTGTGATGTCCGGAATGTCAATATTACAAAATGGCTAAAATTCTCGTTAGTGACTTCAATCATCAAGGTGTGCATTTGTAGTATTGTACATTTGTGCATACATACATAAAAGTTCATATCACCATCCTTACATGGAATGCACAAAATCGCAGAAAAAATGTGTTGCACCTTGTGTGAAGATAACATTGGTTGTGTGGCATCCTCACTAACTTGAATTCAGACTTGAGACCTGCAGTGGCAAAAACCTTTAACGATTGGTTGCCATGTAAATAATATGAAAGTCGGATCCTTCATACTAATCCAAAGAACTTGATGTCCATCGGTCCATGGCCCATGGTATAAGACGATAAGGCTAAGAAGGGCAAACAAAGAACGATAGAGGAACAAGATAACAGGAGAACTGATATTATCAACCAGATCTTTTCTCTATATAAGCTAGTAGTTCGACATTCCTTTGAAATATTTTATTTTTTATGATTCGGCAATGCAGAGATCATTAGTCTTACCAAGTAAAACAGTAAGCAACTAAATGTGTTGCTTGATTCAGCCCTGATATTCTATTTACAAGAGTCTTGGCCCCTAACCTCACATGCTGGTAATGTCATTTTCTTGAGGTGCCCACTGCTTTGGAGCTCACCAACCTAGGACAATGCAGTCCAAGACAGGAAATATATTTAAGCCCGTAGTGTTGCAACGTGCACACTTGGAGGGAAACCCCCATTTGCTTAGGACTACATACATACAACATTACAATAAACTTGAAAACAGGTAACAACAGACTGGAGCTACATGTATCAGCAATTCATCACAAAAAATATTGTAATAGAGACAATTTGGCTTCAAGCTCACCAGAGGTTTGATAGGACTGGCAGGAAGCAACATAATGCATGTTTGGATCTCCTGATCACCAGGCTTTGAGCACAATTCTAGGAACTTCTGTGTCAGATTCAAAGCGATCAAGCATTGTTTCTGTCTCATCGAGAAGCTACAAATGCGGAACGACAAAGTGAAAATAAGACGATTATGAAAACAACGAAAGATGTTACAAAAATGGTTAAATAAGTAGCACCATCTTGACAAATATTAGAAAAGTACGTGCAGACAGCAGCTTTACAAACTTAAGAAAAATACATGCGCAACTACGTGCATTCACTGCCAAAACAAGTTCATTTTAGTTACTTATCAGTCCTAGCAGTGTTGGAATTAAAGATGCAAGAAAAGTGGCTTACCCTTTAGCTGCTCTATTTGCCATCACACCGCCACAAATGAAAATTTACACAAAATTAACCCTACTCCTATGCAAGAAAACTGTGCAAGAAAATTTACATGGACAACAATGAAAATGAGATCCTGACACTTCCACAGGTCTTCAGAACATTGTGCAGTGATCGAGTTCACCAACTGATTAGCAAGGTCTACATATTTATAGTTTCCTGAGCATTGAAAAATAAAACTAACAATATATTTCATAAAAACGTGTCAAAGAATCGACCTTAACATATGGGAACCGTCCAAGCAGTAAGAATGGCTCGGAGAAACAAAAGCCACCCTTCAATACCATTGCCTTGTGAACAGAAAGTCTACGGTTAAAAGTTCAAGAAAAATAATCAGCAATGATTTCTTTACAAAGAGGGTAGTTAAACTGACCACGTAAAAGCCGTTTACTCTACCAAATTGACAGGCTCACATACTGAGTTGTTCATCAGTTAATCATTAGTTACCACAAAGCTACCAATGAACATAATGACAGGCTCACATCCTAAGCGGAACCCTGATCTTATCTAGTGTTTCCTGCACCAAATGTGGAAAGCCAAGCTTGTGCTTTCTGTTGTTCATCAGTGAGTCATCTAAACCACAAGGTACTACTTCCTTTGTTTAAAAAGTGGATAACTACTGCCACTGTGTCGCATGTAATTAACAGTATCCCAAAAAATATCACTACTAATTGCCACTGTGCCGCATGTAATTGACAGTATACCAAAAAATATCACTACTAACTTGCTTTTTAGGTGGCCCCACACAATTTCAATAGTATTGACGATGATTTTCTACTGAGTAAGAGTATTTATAGGCCACAACTATAAATCAAGTGCCTAAACAACTTTGAAACCATTTGTATAATCTGTTCAGGTACGTACCCCATAATTCACGTAATTGAATACAAAATTAAATTGCTTATTACTCAGTTAAATGCTCCAACTCAAATGTATTGAGAAAAAAAAATATTTTGCTACAGTTGAAGCAACCTAAATACTGTACTGGATTAGACGTACCAGTGAGCATATGATCCATCGAAGAAGACAAAATTCATAACTAACAGCAAACCTGCAGTTAGTGTCAATCAGCATTGTAGACAGATACCATGAAACATCGACCTTAGATGAGGTGAAGGCGACGAAGTTACCCTCAAGTGAGCATGGTGGCAGCCTCAGTAACCTTAGCACAGGTGTAAGCCTGTGGGCACATAAATATACAAGATCTCTAGACAAGCACCTGTAACTTTGTCGGTTTTTCACTAAGCGTCCCAGACAATTCAAAGGATGGTTTTGCTGCAAAATAAGGAGGGGAATATTTCAAGTAAGTAAGCCCAAAAATTCGCAAACATCACATGAATGGAGAAGTCGCAAAATCCCTCACATATATATAGTTTGCTACTACTACATTGATTAATGACTGAAAACTGAAATATGAGCTGTGATAGGAAATATAGTTTGACAATTCTAGTTTTTTTTGGCAATCATCATTTTCTAAGGGGGCTGATTGGGCACCCTTGCCTTTTCGGCCCATAACTTTTAGTCTTCTAACAGATGTCAATTGGGAAAAACAAACATTATCGTTGAAACTATATAAATGGTGGAAAAACATACATATTATCTGAGAAATCACAACTAATCTTCAATCGCCATATATTCAGTATATACTCATTGGATCCAACATAATGTTTGGTTGAACATGTTCGGGTGATCCAGCTCAAATATCCAGAAAGAAAAAAAGACACAGATTAGAACAAAACAAATGGTAAAAACCGCAAGCACATTTCTCTAGGAAATTTCGACAAACACCTCTCCTACGTGGCTACTGAACCAACTTGAATGCCAGAATGCCCATTTGTGAGTGGTGCTACAGGGGCACATCTCTTCCACGGTCACGAAGTCCCTGACGTACGAGCGAACACCGAAGTTGGAGATGTCAGATATGAGCAATACGTGATGCCATAATCGGAGAGGGAAGAGGGTAGATCTTACTAATCCAGGAGGTGAAGCAGATCGAACCAGGAGGTCTGCTTGCTGCTGCCTCTACCTTCCCGGGCAGCCGGCCGGTCGAGCCCAGCCGCTGCGGTGCCGCCTCCCGCTTGCGGCGTGCCGGAGCCTGCCATCCCTCTGCCTCCGCTTCTGTGGCTCCGCCCGTAGGCTCGCGGCGCCACCTCCCCCGTGCTTGGCTGCTGCTAGCTGCTGTGCCCGGTGGCCCCATGCTCACGCTCGCGGCCACACGCCACCACCACCACCGCCTGCCCCCGGCGCTCGTCGGACGCCGCAACTGCCTGCTCGGCCGAACCACCAATTCAGCAATTGTTTCGATACGGATGGAACTGACCGATGCTTCCTTTTTACATAGCGCTGATTGGGGGAAGGGGAAAGAGTGATGCGCTTTATGAGATTGGAGCCTTCCTTTTAGACGGCGTCGCCGTAAACGTGGATGGAGCAGGGAGGCGTGGAATCAGGAGACTGCGGGCGGAGGTTTCCTTTTGGTTCGTCCGGCTCGAGGTTTCCTTTTGAACGCGCGCGGGGTGGCGAGGTTGGAGCCACGATATCGCACGGGGTGGGGAGAGCGACCAAAAAATTGTCGCACGATTCGATTGTCTTAGTTTTGTTCTTTTTAGTTGTAGAAGATGAAGATATATAAAGATAACATAAAAAATTAAATCTCAAGGCAGTCAGTGATATTTATAATCACAGCATACAACCGACTTAGCCCATCATCCACTTCGATCTCATTTTCCCTTGTAACCACCTCTCAAACCTTACTCATTCGTTGTC